TTATTAAAATAAAATTACTAAAAAGAAAGAAGTACATAGTTATATCAGATTTCATCACCATGGAGGCATCAATTAAAATGTTTTAAGTTTTTAAAGCAAAATAGTTGTCGGTACTAGCATCTGAATGTCTCACAAATAATAATAATAATAATAATAATAATAATAGTCTTTAGTGTATTTTATTGTCTTGTGTTATATAATAATAATAATAATAATAATAATAATAATGAAAATAATAATAATAATAGTAATGATGATAATAATAATAATAATAATAATGATAATAATAATAATAATAATAATAATAAGAGATTTAGTATACGTTCATGAGTTTAATAATATAAAACAGAATAAAATTGAGAATTAGCCTAAAAATAATAATTGTAATAAATTAATTTATTATTAAAACAACTCCAGATCATCATCGTCCTCTTCCTGGTTCATTTGTATGTATTTACTGATGTCATCAGTTCCCATGGCATCTACTCCGTCTTTTCTTTCCTTCTCATCGTCAAACAGTGACGCTCCAAGAGGTTTCTGGACGCTCTTTGGCTTCGGTTTCTTCTTCGGTTTCTCGTGAGCAACTTTGAGGACGTCATCCAAAGTACCCACACTGGACAAGGACGAAAATAAATATAAATATAATAATCGAATTTTAATTCCCAAAATAATAATAATAATTGCCAGAGAGTATTGCTTCACATTACTTTAATAAATCAGAGTGATCCTCTATTTCAGTGAAGAGGGTATCGTCCCCTTCTCTCTCGTTTTCTCCGGTTTTAAGTATCGACATGTTCAGCTCAGGATCATCATCGAGGAGTGTCATCTTTGCAGTTCTTACCGTAGTTGTGCTGGTGGCTTCATCATCAAGCAGGTCTAATCACAGTATCAGAAATGGGAATAATCATTCTTAAAGTTGTAACAAAAATTTACGTCCTAAATGTACCAGGGTATTTTGTCAAAAATGGTTTTAAAAGAATTCTCCATTTTTATAATTTTTTCTAACACATGTACACGTTCTTATGTTAAATGTCAATTTTGAAATGATTCCGATCAAATTTGGAATTTTTAAAGAATTTTAAAAGTTACTTCAAAATCGGGCCAAAGTCCCTGTACTTTAGTACAGGGTCTCAAGCCAAATTTCACCAAAAATGACTAGGAGAGAATTCTTCATTTTATAACTTTTTCTTATACATATACATGTTCTAATGTTGTATATCAAGTTTGAACTGATTCCGATCAAATTTGGATTTTTTACGAATTTTTAAAGTTGCTTCAAAATCGGGCCAAAGACCCTGTACTATAGTACATGGTCGCGAGCCAAATTTTGCCAAAAATGACTAGGAGAGAATTCTTTATTTTTATAATTTTTTCTTATACATATACATGTTCTAATGTTGTATATCAAGTTTGAACTGATTCCGATCAAATTTGGATTTTTCACGAATTTTTAAAGTTGCTTCAAAATCAGGCCAAAGACCCTGTACTAT